GCCTATATTCATTTTCGGAGGAAGCCCTATCTTTTCCTGCAGAAGAGAAGATGCGGAGAGAGAACTCGTAAATGCGTAGATAGTTGCGCCGGTGAGGTCTTGGAGGTGGAGTTTGAAAGGACCGGGCGAATTGGATGGGTGTGATTTATGACTGTGGGTATGTGTTTGATTGGGGTGTTGCGTCGAGGCTGAAGATCCGAGATCGAGGGTAGAGGAGGAAGAGGGAGAGGAGGATTCGTCTGCGACGCGGATAATCGAACGGCCTTGTGTGCGCTCGCCTGATCGCTCGGCTTCCAGATCGAGGAGGAGATCGCTTTTCGAGCGGCTGATGTCTTCGATGTCGAGGACTTGGACGGGGATGTCGTGGTTGAGGAGGGTTTCTTTGACGAGGGGGTTTGAGAGGGAGGGGGGGAGGGAGTGGGTTTCTGGGGAGAGGAAGTTGGGGGTTGTGAGGGAGGTGGAGAGGAGACGGTGGCGGGTTGTGGCGAGGAGGGAGGGGAGCGAGGGGAGCGAGGAGAGGTGTGTGGTTGAGGGGGTGAGGATGGAGTGCAGGAAGGTGGGGCTGGGGAGGGGGAGGTGCGAGGTTGAGAGGGAGTGGAGGAGTTGTTTGTGTAGGGTTGAGGGATTTGGGGTGCTCATATTTCTTTTCTTTTTTGGTTCATAGAGAGAGGAGGAAGTGGTTGTTGAGTTATTAGAAATTAACAAACGAACTGTTTTTCTAGAAGATAGCTAGAAATTGATAATGATGAACCATGCAAGACATATCGTGACGTGTCGTAATAGCTTTATTAGAATGACATGGTATGAGAAGGGAAAGAAGAAGAGAAGTTATACCTAAATACATGCATGTATACTTGTTTGCGAAATAAATAAAGCAAGTAGCCTTGCTCATTTCTTGCATTCCCATCAGCCTTGCAGCCTTCCAAAAGCTTGGGCCATCAGGCTATGGCATCTACCAGCCGCGCCCCGGTGAGTGTTTTCACAAAATTGGCAACTTACAGTTCAATCAGATATTGAAAATGGCACACTCTTCGTTATTAGAATACATTTACGATACAGATATACAATGAATTTTGACTCAATTATGCTTCATACAAGTTGAAAATATGTGGAAAACATATTAACTCACATTCATCAACATTGTCTTATTTACTGAATTGCTTCGAATTGCCTTGAATACATACATACATACTAATTTTGCTAATCTCTAACCACTGGCTGCATCGAATGATCTATTCCCTCTAGATTCATTCACAACACCACCGACCCGCTGCTTATTGCCCAACCCTCACATTTAAAACATCCCTAACAAATCCTCGTTTGTTTTCTTCGCACCACCCTGCTGTAACTGCGTTTGCGCACTAGGAGGTTGGCTAGTACCACTCAAATCTAGCCCTGCAAACCCATTCATCATATCATTCCCCATTCCGCCCATTCCCATGCCGCCAGCAGCTGGGGCAGGAGCAGGAGCATCAAATAACCCCATCATATCTGCCATACTACCACCAGCATTGGCGCCCGCGGCTGGACTATCTACTCTTTGAGGCGTGCCTGCCAATCCTTCCAATCCACTTGTTCCAGCACTGGGAGGCGCGTCTGCACTTGCTGGAGCTGCACCATCAAAATCAATGTCGAGGAGATTCTCGGCGTTATTTTGAGCAGGAGCGCCATTTCCGGCTGCAGCGACAGCGGCTGCAATTGGGTTCTCGACGGCATTTTGACGTTGTTCCTGAATAGCAGCGTGTTGGATAGCATCAGCGCCGTAGCGACCTTGGCCGACAAATGTCTCAGGAGGTTTATGGTATACAGAAGCGAGAGTGCTGAGTTCTGTCAATAGTTGGTCGAGGAGTGCTGGGGGAAGGGATGTCATGGTTGTAGTAATAGGTGGTTTATCTGAAAGGATAATGTTCTAGATTTATTGTTAGTAATATGATCTTGATTGGGGATAGGACTGTCATAATTACCTTTGCTATTGAAAGATCACCTGACAACAAACGCCAATATACATAAGCTCTGTCTCTAATATCTGGGTTATCATTTTCGGCGGTCGATACCTGTAAAACTTTTTGGACGAGGCCCTGATTGTTATCTGGCTTCTTCAAAAATAACTTAACGACAGCTGTCAAGATTTGAAGTTGAGTCTGGGTAAACTCTTCCATGAAACCTTCAACAAATCCTGCAAGGATTTCATCTGCATTGCTGATCTTCTCGGCATACTCGCCAACAATCCAAATTAAAGCTCCTCGCGCGTTTGGCTCGTCTAATTCGTCGATGTACTTGCACAAGGTTGGAATGATACCCTCATATCCTGGGTATTTTCTAAAGATATCTTTGATGACGACAATGGCCTCCTGTACAACGTAGTTGACCTTTGTAGCAATCAAGTCGAGTAATGTGTTGACACACTTTTCGCTTGCGCTCTCAATCTTAATGGCTGCTTGACCAATAGCCTTAACGGCTCTCCGAACAAAATCCATGTCGACTTCAAGAGCGTATTCTTTGAGCTCCGATAATAATTGATCAACATTCTTGTCGTTAGCTATCCGTACCATAATCTCCAATTTCTGAAGTTTTACATAAGGCGGATCGTTGTATTTGCAGAAGAAGACTCTCAACTCCTTGCTAAGAATATCTGGCTTCGCTTGCAAGAGAAGATCTATGTTTCTCAAAGCAACATATTGAACTTCAGGGGCGGAAGCAACAAGAGTTACTACAATCTATTAGCTCAATCCTCCTCAAGATTCTCAATAGTCCGGACTGCAGCCCAACAATCAGAAGCTTTCCGCTTCTGGATTCAAATGATTCAAATGCTTCGAAATACCAAATTGCCTTGGAGAATCATGGTTCTAAATACCGAGGGCTTTTATCACGCTTGCCAGTCCAGACTAGGACACCTTTCTCCTTTGACATAGATATTTCACTTACCAAGAGGTGGTGCCATCTTTTTCAGATATTGCTTTCCCAAATCCGCATTGACATTCTTCATATGGAGGAAAACAACTTTGACAGCAGCCAAGACAACACTTGGGTTGACATGTTGAAATTGAGGAGATACTCTTTCACAAATGTGTTCTGACTCCTTAATATCCGAAGCCTTGTAATCCGCCAAAGTAGACAAGATAGTTACTCTTCCCCATTCGGTACATTCGTTCAAAGCCATGAGCATCTTCTTTAATGTCGCAGATGTGATCCGTAAAGCCTTTGTCTCTGGTGCAGTCTCATTGATTTCCACGAGCGCCGTTACAGAATTAGCCACAACCATAGGATTAGGATCTCCGATCAATTCTTGCAGAGTTTCCAAGAAGCCGTTCTCGAGACACATTGTAGGATTAAGGTCGAACAATTTCGCAACACAGATTGCTGCAGTCTTTCGTACGTATGGCGATTCATCCCTTAACGTTTTCCGCAGTGGTTCCTCCATATAATCTACCATTTTATCTACTCGAATACAACCCATTGTCCGAATCGCAAGAGCTCGCACCAGCGGATTTGGGTCTTCGGAATCTTGTACGAAAGTATTGACCGCTAGAATACAAAGGTCGGGATGCGATTTGGCATAATTCCTAGTGGTGAACATTAGCAACATCATTCATTCCAATCCCAATAAGTAGTCTTGACAAACATTAAATACAAATACACCAGCTTCTTCTGGTCTAAATCTGCTGTAGCAATATTCTTCAAAACATCCGGAAACAACGCAGACACATCTTTGCCCAGGGTCATGGACATGATGGTCTTTTGAATTGCTTCTTTGCGCTCGTAAGCATATTGAGATACTAAACCAGCTCTCAACTCGTATGTTTCTCCCTTCTTGGGTGGTGCGAAGGCACCTTTAATCCTATTCACCGCCATCGCTCACACAGATGGCGACCTTGAGGGTGCCCCTCATACGCCGATGGCTAAGTTGTCGATTGACGGTAAGGCCACGGTTCGTGGAAGGGGTGGATTAATGTGAGCTTTGAAATTTCCAGAAGGGAATCCGCGAGTGTTCCGTATAGAGAGGGAGAATCGTGTGATTCGTGGATTGTGTTGTAATTGAAGTATAGGGTCAAAGTGGTGGGCAAGTTGTTGATACCAGATAGCTTCAGCCTGGTGCGCTTTGTAAAGGACTCGCTAGATCTTGAAAGAACAGGGGACCAGCAATCGTGCTTTCAGATGTGAATCCCCTGTCAAATAAAGTCATCTGAAACAAATTGTTGGATAAACTCCCGAAAGACTTTTAATATGGTAACATTCATTAATTCCCCTATTTGTTCTAATTGAGTTGCGAAACTAATGATGGCATTCTCCAAGGCAAATTTACCCAATCTTCGAAGGCTCTTTGTTGAAGCAAGAACAGATGCTGAAGAGAGCACGTATTCAAGGAATGCTGTATGTTTCCTCAAGATTGAAGATCCATGACTTTTAGCTTATGAACTATAGTTCTACAACATAGTCTTATTTATATCATCTATTGCAGTATTCAGTGTTGTTGCACAGCGTGTCAGCAAAGTCCAGACCTGATTACTAGCGACGGAAGGCTCTATCCAGACAACTGGAAAGAGACGTCAACAATTTGCTGTACGAAACTTGTCATTATCTTGGCTTTCTAAAGGCTTGAATAATATCCCTGGGCCTCGTATGATTAAGCGTGCAGGACTCTGAAATGTGTGACTGAAGAACTCAGAGCCACATGAGTCCCACACACCTGCTTTGGAAGACACTGTCCTTGGTCTTCACAGAGCCGGGGTGTAGAGAAGCATTGTGATCACAAACGCAGTGATTCCTTTTGCTTTACCGCAGTGCCAATATGAAATACTATCCACATGGCCCATTACATAAGGGCTCAATCACAAACAGATTTTCTCCTTCCCGGTGACTCCTTGGTATATCATAGCTCTTCTTCCCCGTGCTCCATTGTCCCCGTAAGCCCCGTTCCTCTCCCCGTCCGATTGCCATCACCACCCCGGAAGCTGTGGTATAGATTCATTCTGCGCCAGAACTCCGATTCCTTCTCCCTCTCAAGCAGTCGTCCCATCCACAACCTCCCCAGTAGTGTTCTTTCCTGGCGCAACCGCCTCCTTGCCATCCTCTTTCTGCTTCTCCCATTGTTCCGGTGTGAAGCACTTGGGAGTCCAGGCATGGATGGCCGCAATCTCAGCCTTCAGCGCCCCATTCACCAATCTATGCCTTGCCAATGTAGTCTTCTTCTCGAATTGCGGCGAAACAATCACGGCAGAGAATGCCTGTCCACAACCTCCTATAGACCATATTCAATCAGTATGGCGGGGATACTGCGGGGCAGTTGAAGGTATCCGTACCTGACATATCTTCAATTTCGACATGACTTGCATTTAATAAATCTGTGATCTTGACCTTGAGAGCTTCAGCAGACACGCCTGAAGCTTCTGCCATTATTTCTGTGGTAATATAATACCGGTATATGTCAAACACTGTGTTAGAACTTTTTCGAAATTATCATCATGCGAAATCGGGGATTGCGATTGTGATGATGCAAAAATGTCGCCGCTTTAATACAAATTGCACTCTGGAAGAAAGTCATCACCATGTGGGCTGTAGACAAAATAAACTCAATATGAACGTGATGTTCTCAAGAGTAGTTTCCAAGAACATCGCAATATCAAAAAGAACCATGTCTACAACTTCTTCTCCATTCACTCAAGCTGTTGTTGCGGCTATGAGAAAGTTGTAAGTTATGGTCAATCAATATCTCCCAAAAGGTCCATTTCTCATGGTGCATTGCAGATATCCGGAAAAGCTCGCGGACAGTAGTTTTGATAACACCGGGCGTGAGTTTCATTGCTTATCTTTGAGAATCTTTCACTCATAATATTCAAGTTCTGTTGGAGGCACCACATCGTGAAAGTTATCTTAGGGATTCAGTTCTTCTGACTGTTGATCTCACAAAGGGGGTTGCAGATGAAGCTATCCGCAGGAAAGATTCAATCATTGTCACATATCGTAAGTATATTTGGTGTCTATTAGAGCAAAGGTATCATGTTTCTAATCATTTTTAAGATCCTATCATATTTCGTGGCTTGAAAGCAGTCACCCTTGCCAACTCCCAACAGAGTTCTCTGCTCCGTCTTGCCCAAGAGGGAATCAGTGTTTACAGTCCTCATACAGCTGTAGATGCTGCGCCAGAAGGCCTCAATGATTGGCTTGCCGATATAGTCACTAATCGGCCCTTGAAAAAGAACCAACCGTATGCTCAATTTTTAATGCCAATCCTACTCTTGAAATGAGAGACTGATATAAAATAGTATCGGTACCGAATCCATTGATCACGAACGCTCGATTATTAATCCCATCAAGGATATACCCGATGGGTTCGAGGGTGCCGGATATGGCCGAATCGTTCGATTCAAGCAACCTCAGAAGCTAGGAGATCTTGTTGCACGGATGCAATCTTCACTCCAAATTGGAGACCGTATATCCGGACTTTCCGTTGCAGTTCCACAATCCATACCTAGAGGAGAAAAGTCATTTATTGAAATTTCTTCCATTGGCATATGTGCCGGATCTGGAGGATCCATGCTCAACGGTTTGGACGTTGACTTATTATTCACTGGCGAATTGAGCCACCATGAAGCCTTGGCAGCCGTTGAGCAGGGTAAATGTGTTGTCACTGCATTCCATAGCAACACTGAAAGAGCCTATCTAAAGGACCGAATGCAGTCTGCATTGGCGGAGGCAATGGAGGGGAAAGCGGATATCGCGGTAAGTGAGGTCGATAGGGATCCCTTTGATATGATTCACAAGGATGAGGTGAACTGGTAAGATAGTGGGTGTCCTTGCAAGTTTATACGAATAATTGTCCGCTTGTGTTCCTGATAAACGATAATAGTTCGTATGCTGTCGTGCTATCGCTGTCACTACGGTATCGTTATACTCTCAAAATGTTACCGCTATGCTGTCGTGCTGTCGTTGCTGTGCTGTGATAAAAATATTGATGTCATGATGATCTCTTTGCTCTTATGTTAACCCAGCTCTTCTCATTTGGAGGCTCGCCCCTCAAGGCTGACTCTCCGTCTTCTATACAGGCCTGCACGTCACTTCCCCCTACACCTCTCTCTTTCCATCTTTTCAACAACGTTGAGATTTTTTCCCATTCCAATCTGGCTTCGTCTTCATTGCCCCCGCTACCAATGATCTTAGCTTCTCAGGTGTCTCCAATACTTGAATTACAAGCTTCTTCATGTTTTGTTTCTTCTGGAATGTCGTCCTTTCCTCTGCCCCCATCTCCATGAGTCTCCTTTGTGATTCCGGAATGCCTTCCTTCAACTCAACCTTAATCTTCTCAGCCCTTTCGTAGATACTCGCGATAGCCGGGTCGAGCGTACTGGCCATTGGATTTAATGGGTCCATGTTTGTCCTCATCTTCCTGATTGTCTCTGTTGCCGCAATCAACTTGCTGTAATTATCATAGACCAGTGCCTTTTTCTCCGCGTCTAAAGCCCTTATATCGGTCAGAACTCCATTGTAGGTCCGTAATAGCTCTCCCAATGTTTGCTTTTCCAGAACCTCTTTCACATATTTCTCCCCATCAAATCCGTCCTTGTCCATTTCGCTTTCTTGTACCTCACTATCAAAGTGTATTGAGGAAACTTCGGATGCCGCATCGTCAGTGGGAGCGTCTTGTCCTTTTCTGAGGTTATAATATTCTCGCAAAGCGGCACGGTTGCGTCGAGGTATCGCGACTGAGGATCCTCGATTCGGAGATGGTTCAGATGAACGGGAATGGTCTAGACTCGGTCGTGTTGAGGAAGTAGGTGTCGTGAGTAAAGGAACGCGACGCCCATTCACGGAGCTTTCTCGAGGTTGGGCAATTGTAGACATAATGCGCGGGGTCAGTATTTCGCATCAATAAGTGTATAATGCTTCTTGGTAAAACAATTGTTCTTGGTTGAATCAGGAGACGGGAATTGAGGTTGTGGCTCGAGCGTAAGGCTGAGCTGCCAAACTACAGTTCGCTCTCATGAACCACATCCGTCGTCCAATGATATAATCACGTCGGAACGATACGGTATAATCCTAGACCCTGAGACAAGCGATAACAAGCTTTTGATGTGACCTTCATATCCTTGCTTGATGTTCTTACCGAAATTGCTTGCGATCTATATTGGGAAACCATTAACATGTTTATTTACGCGTAGACACAAAATAAAATGGGCCAACTGTCTAAATGGCACAAACGCTCGTGGGTATACGAACCGGGAATGTATTAGCAACCCTTAGGCTTCGCAACTTCCTCTCAATGTAGATCTCGCGTGTAATGTGAACGCGTAGACATGTCACTCTCAGCTCTATACGAGTGAGATCTTCGATAGAATGTTCCTTTCTCCCCGGACTAAATTGTCCTTATCCCTGAAATGAATTTCAAAGCACATCTCTAAAGGGATTGTTCTCCGGTGAGCTCTTAGCTATGAGTGGCTAGGTACCAGGTAGTCCCGTCTCCTTTCTTTGGATGACAGCCCCTAAGATCTTCATGCCGTCTTTATCCTAGTACCCAGTTTCCCCCGCCCGTTGCTAGTGCACCGATTAAATGCTCATCTCCGAATGTCGAGTTAATGACAAGCCTTTGCAGACTGACAACAATGTAATTAATATATTTTTCGGCGCCAAAACAAGTGTTGGTTGATAAGCCACCGAGGTAACGAAGAAGATGTACCGCTGCACGCTCACTTGAGTTCTATATACGAGATGGCTTCCCTTCTTCAAAGTTTTCTTTTATGCCGTTTGCTCCATCGCAAATTGCCTCCTTTCTGAAAAATAAAGATGATTGCAATCAAGGCCGTTGTGATTGCTGCTTGTGCAGTTCAAACTGCCTACGCTTTGCCCACTAACGCTTCCCTACCAGTCGTTGATCTTGACTATGCACTTCACCGGGCTACAATAAATGTATGCAATCTCAAATCGGTCACGTTTTGGAGTAGATACTAAATACAACTACAGGAGACAGGACAGTACTACAACTTCTCAAATATTCGATATGCAGCCCCGCCTATAGGAAATCTTCGATTTGCTGCTCCGATCGAACCGACTGAAGTAAACCGAACCATCAACGATGGTCAGCAGGGTGCTATCTGTGCGCAGGGAACACCTTATTGGGAAGAAGTTGCTTTGTACTATTTTCAAGGTGCTAATACAGCTACCTTGGAATTCGTCGAGGCAGAAGTAGAAGCAGTCGAGAAGAATCTCACCATCTCGGGACTCTCCGCGCCAGCACCATTGACTTCAGAGGACTGCTTGTTCCTCGATGTCATTGTCCCAAAGTCCATATACGATTCTTGTGGTGAAAGTAGCGCCCCCGTTGTTGTTTGGATATATGGAGGTGGTTATGTCGCCGGATCAAAATTTGGTTCAGGGAATCCGGCTACGTTGATTTCAAGGAGTCAAGAGAATGGGGATGAAGGTGTAATTTATGTTGCTCTAAACTACAGACTTGGTCTCTTTGTAAGTTCATATTCATTGATTTTGAGGAAAGTAATTGACCAGATATAGGGATGGCTTTCTGGTCCCACATTTGAGGAAAGTGGAGCAGCAAATGCTGCTCTTCTTGATCAGAGATTGGCTTTGGAATGGATACAAAAGTATATTTACCTCTTTGGTGGAGATGCGGATCGAGTAACAGTTATCGGCGAATCGGCCGGAGCTGGGTCGATCATGCATCAGATTACAGCATATGGTGGTAGCAATGGCAATGCACCTTTCTCTCAGGCCATTCTACAAAGTCCTGGCTATCCCCCGTTTATTCAGATGCCCAACAAGAGGCGACTTTCCAAAACGTCATCACTCAAGCACAAGAACTTATTGGACCTAACATCACCTCCGTATCGGATTTGAGAAATCTCGACTTCGCCACGCTGGCCGGGCTTAATACTATTATTACTGCGCGATCGGCTCCTTATGGTACTTTTACTTTCGGACCGGCAGTTGACGGTACCTTTGTACCTGAGTTACCGGCCAAATTACTTCTTGAGGGCAAATTCGATACGAACGTCAAGATCATGACAGGGCACAATTCCAATGAAGGTGCATTCTTCACATCTCCCTTCTTCTCTACAGACGCCGATATTGCTACCGATCTTACAACAACGCTGCCCACCATATCCAATTCCACGCTTGCCTACGTGACTGGAACCCTTTACCCACCAGTCTACAATGGTTCTTATCCATACACGAGTATTTGGGAACGAGCATCCCTCATCACAGCCGAAATCGTTTTCACGTGCAATACTCGCTACCTGAACACCGCGTTCCTTAACGAAACACACTCCTACTACTTTACCGTTCCACCCGGACTTCACGGCGAAGATATTGCATACACGTTCTTCAATGGTGACACTACTACATCAAACGATGGATTGCCAGTAAATGCTACCATAGCAGCTGATTTACAAAGATACATCATGAACTTCGCTATGACAGGTAATCCCAATGGGGTTGGAGTGCCATTTTTCCCAGAATACCAAAGCAATGCCACGACTCTCGTTCTTGGAACTACTGGCTTGGGAAGTGTGCAAACTGATACCACTGCAAACAACAGATGTGCATGGTGGCAACAAGCGTTGTACGAATAGTTTGGATGTGGATGCGGATTGATGCGATATATTAATATTCACGTGTATAAATACTAGTTGTGGTTTTAATGTTTAAGTTTAGTTTATATACATGTATAGCATACCTTTTTGAGTACATTGTTTGCCCGTTTGCTGCCTCATGACTAGTACTCTAGCTTGTGTTGGACCATTATTTTTTCAAAGAGGAAGCAGCCACCTCAGACCAGGCCAGTTCGTTCGATGGTCCGAAATACAACCTCAACAGCGATAGCCTCTTGGTTTTCGGCATCATGCTATTACCGAGTTTATTGAAATAACGAATTCCTAAAAGTTTGAAGAATTTCATGTCAGACAGCCGATCAATAAACTCGTAGCGAAATCACGAACCAGATGCTTGCCCAGGTGGCAGATTTGTCTAAGTATCTTATTCCATACATAAACCTACCCTTTTATCAATGATTTCCTCGATAGATTGTGTAACATGTTCTCATGTGAAAAGTCTGAGATTTCTCATTTCTCAGCCCCCTTTCCTGATAATATAAAGCTTCCATATACTCTGTAGTAAGCGCTAACCCACTACTCACAAGCATAGATCAAGGAAGAACTAGATGGGTTCCTACTTCTATCCTACCAACGCTGATATGCATTCAAATTCAAATTTTAATAGACTGACTGTTATGTTAGACTTTGCAATTGTAAGCTTACAGGTTCAAAGCCACATATTGTGGCGTATATTCTGTGACATGATAATGGTCGCCTCCGCATGCATGCATGGCATGACTTATATTTCACACCTTCATTAAATGGCTCACAAAATTCATCGATAAGTCTAGCATCATGACTCAAGACTTCAACTGGAATCTCCCAGGACTTAATAAACTAGAATTCACTGCCTACGCAAATCTTCTTGCACTTCGAAATGATGGGCAAGTTGAGTCAGTCTCCTTGGGCACGGAGCTGTCTGACAAGAACGAGTCTACTATCGACAGCGATGCGATTAGTATAGACACAAGCTACCGTGACCAAATTTCAGATTCAGGATATCATCAATTGAAAACAAAGTTCCTGGATTGTCTGGCGGAATTGATCGCTAATAGAAAAGGCGGCAAATATGTTGCATGTTCCAGTATGATGGAAGACGAGGAGAATGTGACGCTTTGGATCACCCGAAATGGAGGCTTTCAGATTGTGGACAATATTTTCTTTGAGAAGTTAAGCAAGCGGCTAAGTGGCTTGTTCCACGGAAAAGGTACCTGTTCACTAATTAAACCTTGAGCCAAATTTAACTTTCTGTGAAGACTTGCCGAATCGAATAGTCGAGGTGGTGCTTTGGAATGAAATGTTGGCGTATTATGAAGACCGTCTCGAAGAAACTTATATTCCGAACCTGAGGTTGAGCCTCAAGAGTTACAACACCACATTCAACGATTACAATAACGACAGGTTCGCTACAGCACGTAACGAACTCTCGGTTCTTCAAAATCAGACCTTTGCTAGGCTAGAGACGGGTCAGAGGTTGATCGACAGACATAGCACGCTTGTCACAAAAGCATATGAATTACGAAAGAGCAAAGTCGTCGAGGAGCTTCTCCAAACATCTCCGAAGTCTACGAAACAAACTAGAAAACTATGGCTTGATATTTGTTTTCTCGGTAGGCTTCGGGTCATACTTGAAAGATTCAAAGAGGTTTCTCTTAAGCTCCCAAGTTTCAACAATGTTACCATAACTGCAGTGACCGGTGATAGGATACCGCAAAAGGCGCTCAAGGATGCACTCAAGCTAAAGGAGACCTTGAAGCTCCTTGATCTCCCGACCGACACCTTGACAGTCAAAACTGTGATCGGGCCAAGCTGGACTGTTGCCAAGGCTGAGCGGGAGTACGGGAAGTTGCAAAAGCAGGCACTTAACATACATGCTGAGATTCAAATGATTCTGTTTTTGAGCAAGAATGAGCGGTTATTGGATCAATCATTCGCCTATTTTGGTTGCAGCAAGTATAGCTGTTTCATGTGCTCGCACTTCCTCAAAGCATATGGCAGGATTGGTACAAGGGGCTGCCATGGTCGACTATTCAAACCCTGGACGGTACCCGAAGCAATAGGACTAGCTTCTAGCCAGGCGGATAAAGTAGCCAAATCAGTGGTACAAGTGCAAAAAGACATTGAGAAAGAATTGAAGTCGGACTTCGACAAAGCAATACGACTAGAAAAAACGTCTGTTGTTGGTGGAAGCAGCATATTCAGTGACCACAATTCTGAGAAGTCAGGTAAGCACCTGGTAATAGAGAGAAGAAAAAAGAAAATGGAGCAAGAAAGAGTTGCTAGGCTATTCAATAGGTAAGAAGGGTAGAGATATAATCTTCCAGCTGTTGAAACTGTTATGCAAGAGCTGAGATCCGCACAGACCATCGGTAGAAAGGAGTGGTACCCCTTTCCCGAAGCGCACCTGGGGAAATCTGTCAGACGGCACATTGGTAGAGTCAGAAGAACTCGGTGAATGCAACACCTGCTCTAGAGTGACATCTCGACTGTGCAGTATCTGCAATATAGATTACTATTGCAGTGAATCATGCGAAACCAGGACAAACGGGTCGCATGTGTTCACGTGTGCCAAGCGACCGCTCACCTCGGCTGATTATCTTTATATAAATATATCTGAGAATACCATTCCTGATGAGGAGGAAGTGCTTGAGGATTTTGGTTTCAATCATCTGTCGTCATTTGCCGATAGATCTAATCTTTTGGGGCTTTATAAGGGGTTGTGGCTCGGTGGTGTCCCAGTCGAAGACATTCACAGATGGCAAGTCGAGAGTACCCTTATTACTAACATCAAAAAACACTTCTATCAAATCAACGAAGCCCATCGAGGGGGTTATTTTCCGTGGTTTCTGGTCAATCTACATATTTTAGAGAAACCATTAACTAAAGAGGAGTCAACTCAGAATTTGCTAGCCACATTTTACGACCAAGCCCAACTTTATTTGGATAAAGAGGACCAGCATAAACAGCCAAGTCAATTGAAACCCGAGGCCAAGATGAAATGCTATGAACTTCTAGCGACGGCTCTTCATATGGCGCGTCCAAATCCAATCCAAATGAACTGGTACAACTTTGGCTTTTGCACTTGCAATGACGAGCGAGAGGAAAGCGCGCTTGGAGTGCTCTACACACGATTACTACTCGGGAATGAACTTCTTGGGGACCTTCGAGGCAATACTCAACACATGTTCTATGGTCCCGCGCCGCTAACAGCTACCTTTACGGAATTTTGGCATGCGTACGAGTCTGGTACCTTAATCGAACTCATAGACTCCAAAGGTCTGAAGAAAATGCGATCAGAGTTTAAGTTGCTAGAATGGTTTCTATCAGTATCCCCCTCCGGACCACAACCTTCAGTCTGGTCTTTGAAACAGTTCGTAGCCATTGACAATCCCGCCGAGTTTCCACCAAATGAAACAGTGAAAGTGGACTATGGGTTCATGAATTGCCAGACTTTTGAGGAAACCTGCATTCTGTTAGAGACTTACAAGAGACTTCTGAGAGAGGCAGATCTACTAGAGCTTCACGAAGCTTGTTTAGCCGGTGAACTCTTCGAGTTTGCGGAATCATATCATCATATGGATGAGAATCATAGGAGATGATGAGGAATCCATATCCTTTGCGACGGAAGTCAGCATTGGAGTGCACCCGCGGTTTTTTTCCATTCACGACAGTCACTATTTATCATTCCTTCGCAAAGCAACAACTAGCTCTGTCTGAATGACAATATCTTTTACATACCTTACAATCAAGTCCAAGGTCAAAGCAGACACTCCAAATTCAATACCCAGACTGAGTGAGGGTGAGATCAAGCCAAATCGAATCTCGGTAGTGCAACCCCTCGCTTATGAGACCAGGATAAACAAACAAACCAGCAGTATATACTCAATTCTATCACTTTCTGTTACATACGACCATAGACTGAAGAGAATTGGGCATCCCGTCCGCTCTGCCATACACAAGCTTCAGATCGGTGGATTAGTAGTTGGGTGGGTGACCACCAGCGAATCCCCACTGTTGTATGTATCTTTTTGCATTTTTTGCGAGGAATGTACCGACTTGGTATATTTTGGAGGGGGACGAATAGTGTATACGCGGTGTTGGGGTTTTCGTTCTGCCCCTTACCTCGATTAGGATTGTTGATCAATGATTGACGTGTTTGGTGATGGAGGAAGAGGATTTTTTGAGAGAATTAATGGCCTGTTTATTGTATATTACTGATCAGACCGTCTATATCTTTTGGCTTGGTAAGTCTCCCTATGTCAGCAGTCGCTTCGTTTTTATACCATTCCTTTGGAACATACAGTTGTTTATCAATAGGTCTTGTACTAGATATAGTAAATGATTTCACTAATACTTACTCCTGACAAAAATCAAAGTTACATCTCACTCATCACAGCATATCAGTGGGTCACAAATAAGGAGTAGAGACAATTTCTCATTTATGCGTATAGTGTATTATTTATGACTTACCTTCAAAACAAACAAATTGATATCCCACAAAGAATAAGGCGATCCAAAGATGACAGAAGGAAAGAAAGAAAGAACAAGAGAGAAATCAAACACCTACCTAGAGTACTCGCCCTACTTACTCAATCGTCTGAAACCCCGTAATCCTATCCAACACCCTCCATTCCTCTTTCTTCTCCTTCTTCACCCCCGGCACCAATCTCCTCAACCTATCCGACCCCCTCTTCATCACCGCGCTCAACTTCCCTCTCACCCCTTCCCCTTCTCACCCCCCTCCTTCTCCTCGCACCCCAAAACCCTCTCTTTAATCACCAACTCCCCTTTTTCTCCCGTCTCCTCTCTAACCTTTCTCTCTCCTTCTTCTCCGCTTTCTCTCGAATCCACGTCTTCACCCTCTTAACACTAACCCTCACTCCCCCCCTTCTCCTCTCCAACCCTCCACTCATCATCGTAAACGCAGACCTGTCACTCATACTCACATGTTTCTCATCATAGTGGTTTGCCGCCTGATGATCAAAATACCAATGGGTATACATCGCTGCACCACGGGGTTCGAGTTCCGAGGCTGGAGTCGCGGGTTCGATCTCGAGGGTGTAGTTTGTTTGTTCTTGCTCAGCGTCTTGCTCTTGAGATTCAGACTGCGACCGCGACTGCGACTGCGACAGAGCCTCAGGAGTCAAAGGCGAAACGGGCGAACCTGCCCCGCTCCCCCGAACAGCAAAAGCATCTTCGGGCGAAACGGTAAAGGAAGGAGTATGCACTACAGGGAAGATGTCAGAATCGGATTCGGTGAAGATACTTACATGGGGTCTTTGGACTGCTCTCTGGACGAGTGTTTCTCTGCGCTGCACCTGTGCTTGTTTTTGGCGACGCGCAAGCGTGGGTTCGCGGAAGAGGGCGCGGGTGAGGGTTTGTTGGACGTGGGTGTCGAGGTGGGGACGTTCTTGGAGGGGTTGTCCTGGGGTGCGAGTTTGTTTGGGCATGGTTGGGTGGGTGGTTGTTAGTTCGCTTTGTGAGGTGAAGATTGTAGGTTTGATGGGTGTTGATGTGTGTGTGTGTGTTTTGAGAATTGTTTAGTGTAGAAAATATGTGATGGACTGTAAATATAAACGTAAAGGCAAATAGGAGATGAGATGTATAACTTGGAAGGTTTTCAGAAAATGGAAAGGAAGAAAACATGTCGCGGCACAAGAAGCATTTTAAAGGAAGAGGGGCATTGTTCTGTCAATCTTATTGTACTCAATCATCTTTTATTAAGAGACAAAGAAAGCTTAACAATAGGATTGAAATGAATGAAAAAGACATGTAGCTTTGTTCGGCAGAACAAGAAACCCTAAAATAAATCAAAGAATCGAGCTCTAGTGCACTGTTTTGTTCTATTTCCGTTCATCATCAAGTATCCAGCATGCATTGTGTATTTTGCCAGTAGCACCAACCACACAAACTGCCGCCTACGAAGACCAAACAAGAGAGAGTGTGTGGTGTGGCTCATCTAGTATCTATCCACCAACCCATCCCTCGAATTCAAAAGCAGACTGTCCAAACAGAAAAACTGGTGCACGCCTACTAATACCAAGAATGAAACAGAAGTATGAGGACTACCTCGATAAATTAAGGTTGTATTCGGTTGACCTATTCAGTTGCTGAAGTAGGAAAGTATGCAAATACAATGTGCAAAAGAGAGATAAAATATATAAAGGGGCGTTTCAGTTCAGCAGACAGTTCCTTAAGCAAAACATAGATCCAGTAATTTGATATATTCGTGCAAGCAACGAATTCATATAATCATTTGCTTTCAATACATCTGTTCAACCGCCCACATGCTTTCATTTCCATCATGTCTTGCATGCATCATCCCCATTCATTTCGAGGTCAAAAGGGCACAGCTAAGACTGAAATCTACTATATCATTTCGTTCTCATTCCATTTTTGCTATTTATTTTCCCCAATCCAAACGCCAGCCAGCTTAAAGCCATGCAGACCAGACCAGATCGTAACAGACCGACCATATACATATCGTTCAGTATGCGTGATCCCATCTACCCATTACGAGAGACCTAGATAACAGCTTCCACGCTCCTAACCTCTCTCCAGCCCCCTAAAGTGTAGATTCGCCTTACTTCGCAACAGCTGCGCTCAGAACTTGTGTTCTGAAGAATCCTCCCTTCGTCCTCTCAATTACTTGTTGGTATACACTGCTTGGTGGGTGGTTCATGACAACTGTTCCTTCCTTGTAATCAATCTTGGCGTCAACTCTGGTATCTCTGATGAGGTTGACAATCCATTTTTCACCATCATCTTGGTTCAAACCTAATCTTGCACTCAAATCCTTGATATCAATTCTCTGATGGATCTTGCAGTAGCTCTCGCTGATCAAATGTCTTGCGGCCTCAACAAAGTTTTCAGAGGCAGCGACGAGGAAGAAATCGGAACGGAGAACTTCCTCAGCCTCGGAAAGTTTCTTTTGTGCTTCCTCGAAATCGAAGTCGAGGTATAGAGCCTTGATGAAATCGGTGACGGGGTCTGAGTATTCGTAGTTCTCTTGCTTAACAATACGAATAATATCTTTGAGTTGTTTCTGATATTGACCAGTGTTGCGTGTGCGGTTACGGTTGGTAATGACTGCAGCAGTCAAATATCTTAGAATCCATGGGCAGGCGGTTTGAATGGTGTTGATGAATGCTGGGGAGAAGAAGAGGTCGCAGATAACATCACGAGCGGGTTCGTGGTTGAAGAATGGGAACAAAGCCCAGTGGATGAGCCAGGTGCGGTGGTGAAGTTGTGCGAGAGGTTTGTTGAAGAGCTTGGTCTCGATCGATTCTTTCACTTTTTGGACTTCCTCCATAGCGGATTCCCAGTTTCCAGTCAAGATCTCACAAGCCAATTTACCCCATGTTGCTGCAGTGACTTTGTCATCGTCGGTAGAGAGGACTCTGAATTGGTAAAGGAGTTCGGCAGCCGCTCCGTAGTTTCCACAGCTGTATTGGAAGTTACCGAAGTCGTATAAGACGTTGACCATCTCAATTGTGACCTGTTTCTTTGTTAGGTTGAATTTTCAGTGACACAGAATTCCCATACGTACATCATGCTCCTTCTTCAAGAACTCCAAGTTAGCAACCTTGTCACTTCTCAGTCCAGTAACAACATCCTCTCTGCCTAACAAATCTGTAATTTTCTCGCTCTCTTGTCCGAAAATTTCTAATCTTTGAAGAATTTCTTGTCTCTTGTTCGCGTATTCCTTTGGGGCTTCATCCACACCCTCGATTTCGCAGTGGAGACTGGCAACATAATCTGTCATGTTGGTCTTCTTCAACAATTCGAATTTTGCCTTTGTGATTTCTGGCGATGGCTCGTCATCTTGGTCACCGACAAACTGTAGCAAAGGGAAGATTAAATGTCTGTCGAGGTGGGTGATGAGTTTAGGAAGGAGATCGTTCTCTTTGGCGATTTCCTCGGGGCTCTTGGCCGCTGCTTGAGCAGCATCATTGAGAAGGTCATTCGCAGTCGTGGGAGTATTGTCCGCCATGATTGCGATCCTATTGTGCTGTCGTGAGTTGGAAATAGTGGTGGGGTTCACGCTTTCGCAGGATAAAGATGTCGGAATTTGATGATTGTGTGCGCCCGCCTACAAAATTTCGCGCTAGTGGAGGGTAGCTTAAATTATTAGCGTCTTTTTTGTCTTTGAGAAGTTCGCGACGTTCGAATGAAGTTTGGGGAAGGTAATTGATCAAAAATCAATCTTTCCACAACCTCACATCCTTTACGATGTCACTACAATTCCTCAGACCTATGGCTTTGCCTAGACCAACCACTTTACGATATTTCCTTGGTGTTGCTAGACTATCTACGAACCCCGCTTCCTCAAGCCCAACAAAGGAAGCAATTTCAACCTCGACGCCAATCCCCTCACAAACTACACCTGCGACAGCCCCGAATCAACCGTACTATGTATCTCGAACGCCGTCCAAACAACTGCCAGTATATGCACTTTCCAAAGCAGGTGGCAACTTGAAGCAGACAAAAATTAGAAAGATTGAAGGAGATATCATGAAGTTGAAGGAGCAATTAGAAGAGGCATTCTCCAACAAGGAAATTCGGGTCAATCAATTGGCGAAGCATATCATAATCAAGGTATGTTGTGTAGTCTTTATGGAGGTCTGATCCATGAGTTTACTGACCATATCACAGGGGTGGTGCAAACCGGAAGTAAAGGAGTTCCTCAAGGAGCGACATTTTTAATGGGATACTTGCAATACATTTATGGACGAGAAAGATTTTATACGGGTTTAGTTGTTTCAAAAGCAATATTTTGCTTTGATTATCATTCTACACACTCAATGCCTATATGTACAATACACTCTTACTTTTCAAGAGAACCCATCACCCCTTGTACACAAACCAATACCAGCCATACCACAAGAATCACAGACATCAAGCAAATGCCACGCTTAGCAGGCAGATATATCAAATTACAAACGCCGACTCCATACGCTATTAATTCATGCGTCTATGAACCTTAATACATTTATGAAAACCCAACCACTCATTAGCCAAGACTTGTAAAAGTGCACAATTGTCGCAATGCCTCTTTCAGCCTAGGCTGTTTGCGTTCATGTAGTTTTATTATTCGTTCCGTCGTTGGCATTCCAGGTATGGGTATCATAGAGGTCGGGTCTTCGGGGTCTCGTGACTTTTCAGCCAGTCGGCGTAATATTCCAATTCCACCAAGAACTATTTGTAACATTGCCTCTTCCTCTGCCGTTTTAGGTACGGCAGAAACTCTGCCATGCGATGGACCTTGTGGGGCTTCGTGACATAATGTTAATACAAGGTGTGAAAGGTTCTTTGCAAACCCATCCTCTGAAGTTAACCAAGCTTTTGCAATGCCACTGTCGTATCCTGGTGCAAGGTTTGCCAGAAGTTCCGCAGCAAGCATGCCTTGCATCAGCATTGGCTTTCGTGCTTCAACCAGAGGTAGGAAGGTTCCCCGTTTAGGGTCTTTTTGCTGATCAGGTATCACCGAGATAGACAGAGCGAATGTTCTTGTCAGAAGGTCAAAAGGTGGAGACGAAGACACGTCAGAGGCAAAGATCGTTTTGTAATGGGTTCGGTTTGGTTCATCCCGCGCAAGAAGCTTGGCAAGACTATCAACAGCAGGATAGATATAATAATGAATAGTTGGGTCGTACTGCGAAAATGTGATTTTATCGGATCCCATTACATTTGGGGGAGGGCAGGGCGCAAATGCTAATAGGAAATGCAATAAACATAACGCTTGTTCGCGACCAGGTAACTTGATCTCATGTGCCATATTTGATAGTAAAATAACACCGTCTTTCATGAACTCCAGCGTGTTCTGGTTGGTCCTAAGTAGCATATTTCGAGTTCCAAGATACCGTATTACCACGCAGAAGAATTTGATAACAAACTCTTCTGCAAGGAACAAAAGATTTGGTTCGTGAAATGAAAGGTTGCGCAGAATACTGGTTATGCAAATCAGCTTCTCGACTGCTCGATCGACCTGATATTCCTCCGATCCAAAAGGTGGAATATCTTGTACGGTATGCTTCTCAGCCTGGCAGGCGCGGACGACATCCTCGTATGAATTTATGAGCATCATATCCGATACCTCTGCCGCGTTTTCGGCTAACAATTCAACCTGATCCTCGGCGCAATCAACTAGTGTCTCAACCAAATCATCACATTTCATCAACTCTATTGGTAGCCGTTGTTCCGAGGACACCAAGGCCAGAGTATCTAAAGCCAAACGTACTTCGGCATGTAGTCCGGATTGAAGGCTCATGGTTAAGGCATGGACGTCGATGGTACCAATTTCAGTCAATGGTGGAAAATCTGGCTTCAGTTTCAACAAGGAAGTCCCCTCGCCACGGAGAACCTCCAAATCGAGGGCGCCCCCATTTTCATCAGGAATCCGCGAAAAGACCTTCAACTTCTCAGGAAGGACTACGTTCATTACCTCATCTTGATTTTGCTCATCTAATGCCGGCACCATGTTAGGATGAGGTGATGCCAATGATATACTGCCAGACTTGGGTATTGAAGCTGGAGACGGTATAGGATAAATGCCGGTATTCTGCGGCGGGGTGGCCTCGACACTCCTCGAGAGACTGTTCCGAGCATGGCTTTGAGATCCTAAAGGATGTACTGGCGGGGCTTGTGGAGTTGAGAAACCATTCATGGCAGGTTGTTGAGGATGATGTAGAGGTGTCATTTGCTTCATGGGGGTAGTTTGTTGCTGTTGGAGATGCTGCTGTTGGGCGATCTGCTGTTGCATGTAATGCGATGCTTGCATAGAGTTTGATGGAGGCATTTGTTTAGTGGGCGACATTTGGGGTACACCGATAGCACCACCCTGCTTCATTGCGGCTGCTCTCTGCCTTTGCATATTGGATTGAAAAGCCTCCTCGAACGCAAGAAGATTTCTCTCATATAGAGCCTTGAGTTGCGGAGGCACATTTTGGTATCTCAAAGGATGTATTTGAATGGCTTGCGCAATTTGTCCCCATGCATTTTGAGCCGTCACATTTCTGTATCCTCCATATTTGGTAACTGCCACATACAAAACGTAAATATTGATATGTCTATCACCTACAAATGGATTCGTCTCTAAAGGCAGACCCTTTGACTGCATAAAAGCAGCCAAGCTTTTGAGAAAATTGTTCGGATTTTGGTTTTGGGCCAATGAAGCTTGCTGAGGTCGCATGCCAGCAAATTGGCCGTTTGGTGCTTGCATCATCTGCCCTTGAGACAATGGATTTACACCGGGCGACATGTTCTGTCGTTGCGCAGCATGTAGATTGCTCTGTTGTTGATGCTGTTGCTGTTGTTGTTGTTGCTGCTGCTGCTGCTGCTGCTGAAGTGATTGTTGCAGTCGCATCTGATACATTTGCCTGGTTTGGTCCAAAGAAGTGTTCTTTTGTTGCGGTTGGTGATTCGGTGGCTGGGCCTGTTGATTGTACATTTGAGGTTGTGACATCGTAGGTGGCATTTGTGGCGTCGACATTGCACTTTGCGGTGGTGCCGAAGTTCGTCCTGGTGGGGGAGTAAAATTTTGACCATAGGCAGGTGCATAGGGAGTGTTCTGGGCAAATGTACTACTTTGTGGTGTCTCGACTCGGCTTCCATGATCAGATTGTGAAGGCGAGAATGGATGAGGAGAAGCTGTAGAAACTCGTTGTGGTACACCGCCAGGACGTAGCTGATTAGCCATGATTGGAGACGGACTAGCATTACTCGATCCATTCTGTAAATGCGAATATGGTGTCTGTTGAGGCGCATGTTGTGGGGGGACATTATTAGGTGAAAAATTGGGATAGGCAGCTTGTTGTGGAGTTTGTGAGCGAGATCCAGGTAGCATGCCAGAAGCTTGCCTGGGTGATGTACCTAGACTGTCTTCCCTTGGCCTTGGTCTCTTTGATGGAATAACAGGATTGGTTTGATACACGGGTTATTGAAGGCTGGCGACCCATTGCGCATTCCACCATTTTGCATTCTTTGTTGTAATTGTTGATTCTGGAATTGATTGGGATCAAAGGATGATGAAGTGGGCATAAAACCCGATGGGTCCATCATGTTTCCTCCGGTATTCGATTCGTTCATATGATTGAAGCCTGCGCCATTGTGGTTTTGGACGGCAGCGTCGTTCATCCAGGAGCTCATGTCTGTGGATGATAGTAGTGGCAACCCATCTGCAGATGCGCACAAGTGTTAGTTATCATCAAAGTTAAGTTTGAATCCATTGAAATCCAGTAGGATAAAGGTGCAGATGCAGAAATAAAAGATAGAATCTAGCGCGATGAAGTCGCGACGCGCTGATGGGTCAAATGAAGCAAAGGGGGAAACAATTGCTTCATCAACTTTATTATCAACAGCATCCACGATATTCAATCAACATGCGCATCAATAACTACAATGTGTCTCGTGACATCTTTCTAACATAAGGATAGGAATGAGAGGAATGAAAGGTAAGGTCTTACCTATCGACGCGCGCTGTTGAGGTCCCAAATTGTTTTGACAGTCTCGGAGTCTCTCTTCACCTGAATTGTACGCTAACGTAAGATTAGGATTAGTGACTAAAAAAGTAACGCCCCAAAATAACCACGCTTCGTTCGTTCAATCAGAACAACGGAACAGAGCGTCAATTGAGTGAAGATCAAAGGGGAAAAAGACTTTCTAGAATTTCAGAAATTATTAACTCACCAACCAATGACGAGATAATGAGAAGAGGTGAGTTTTTATAATCGAAGTGTACTCAAAAAAGAAGAATTGGTTATTTTCTAGAACAAAATATGTTGTGTCAGTCAATTATCCATGGTAATTGGGAGATCCAGAATGGTCGAATTGGTGGGTGCGTGGGTGGAATATGAATGAATGTGTATGTATTTGTGCTGATTTGATTGATGGTTGATGATTGATGATTGATGATTGATACGATGAATAGATCGGTGTTGTGCTCCAGAGTAAATGAGTGCAACATAGCATTGGCGGAGAGTGAAAGCGTGACCAATTCTGAGTGTAAGGATTCAAGGTCACGTTTGTGTGGGTTGGAGGTGGAGGTAGGTAGTAGGTAGCTTGAGGAATAATAAGGTACGGTGGTGGTAAACGTGAGGGAGAGTTGCGAATGTGCGGTAGTCCGGCAAGGTAAGGTGAGGAGAGAAAAGGTAAGGCAGCGACGAAGCGGTAAGAAGCCAGCCCGTACAACTTCTCCGGATTTGTGCGGATAAGATACATGGGAAGATCAAAAGATAATAGAAAAGATCGGAACATACCCGTCTCAATACACGGCTCCAAAAACAAGGTCGGATTAGAATAGGTTCGGACAGAGAATGGGGGTTTGGATCCGATGGTTGGCGAAATAATGCTGTATCGTAAAAATAAAAAATAAGAATCAATGGGAGAATGGGAGAATGCTTGCTGTAACACGTTGGTTGAATCAACTGGTGGACCGAATAAGCAACCCAAAGATAATTGAAATGCCTAGGCAGCTTGGAATGACACTCTAAAGTGCGAATTTGAACTAATGAGAAGTCTTCCGGGGGAGGGTTGCGTTGTTGAGTAATGAGATTGTCGGATGAATGTCGCGGCGTTCACCTGTTTCTTGCTGAAGGATGGATGGATGCTGTATGAAATCGTTTCGTTTCGTTTTCCTTTCCTTTCCTCGGTCGTCGCTCCATTTTTTTTAGAGAAAAAGAGAAAAAGGCTAACGACGGTTAAGCCAATCATATCTTGATAACCTTGGCTCAACTCAATTGGTAACCCTTCCATCCGAAAAGATCATTTTATCATCTTCAGTGAATTCGAAGGGGAATTCGAATCACATCAAAAAACGCATAGAATGATCCTTCACCAAGACCTAGGTTATCCTTCTATTACTGTTAATATCTTCGCAATGTCCTAAAGATTCCTTGGTTAATGAAATTGGGTGAGTAAGTATAGTAAATATGAGCGATAGTATGTGTGTTGGACTAGTGTGATTGGTTCCCGGTCGTGCCTGTTCCTGATGCGGTGTGAAATTCCTGGTCGCTTTAACCTGACGGATTTGCACCATACGAAAATCTGTGACAGAAAGGGAAAAAAACTTGACATTTGCAAGATGAAGAAAGTGAAGAAAAGGTTGCAGGAATGAAGGACAATGTTCCATGATGTAGAGACAGACGATTCCATAGTCATTTGATCCTGTGAATCCATCTCGTCCAGCTTGTTGTATTTGGAAGATGGAAGGCCGCCCTGTGTCTTTCTTGACAAGGTTTATGATAGCGTGAGGAAGGAGGATACAAGACGGAGAAATTGAATCAATTCCCAATAATGACTCGGAACAAGAAAGAAAACGAAGAAGAAAAGACAGATGGAATAGAAGAGAGAACCATGACACCAGAGAGAGAATAGTAGGATGAGAAAAAAACAGGAACAGAAGAAAAAGAGGGGGAATGGAGTTTTATTTAATTGTTCAAAGGTGCAGGGCCAATTTGGAAATCACGTTTCCCACCGGGATATAAGCTTTTGGCGTATAATCCATTGCCTTACCTGACGATCCAGAAAAGATCAGATTGATAGGTTACAAATGCCGTCTCTGAAGGATATGCTGGTATGGTACTCGTTCCTTCTTTTACTTCTCTAGACCCATTTCAATTCTCCTCACATCATGGAGATACTAACCATATCACACACACAAACACACAGACCAATGATACCCTTACTGATTATGCCTCTTGGGTTTGGGACGAGATGGGTGAGAAATGGGCTTGGTAATTTCACTAGGAGACAGGTGGGCATATGATATTTAGATCTTTCTTTCCGTGAGGTGCCAATATCGTCTTGGAACCTCGTTCCGTTGACTCGTTATTTCTCGGGGAATTCGTTTGACAATTCCTGTGTGTTTCTGTATGATATGTTTGTGGTATGTTTGTGGCTTCGATTGACATCCACTAATGAGAATAGGTGAAAGGGAACCAAAAGATTAGACGGGAAAATCTATACTGGACTCAGGTCGATCAATGCATCTAGGTTCTTTTTTAATGTCATCTCAATACCGAGTAAGTTTATAGAGCATTGCTATCATGGCCTGGACTGATAGCTCCTTGGTACGCTATTCTTCCTCACAACCACATTGATTCATTGAAAATTAATGAGACCAATGAAATGCTACGCGTGGGAAAGTGAAGGGAGGCTATCGTGTATGCTATTTTGTGGTGATTACTGCGTATCATGATTCCTGCATCTGAGACTATTTATCCTGCAAGTAATGTGCCGTGAAATTGCAACTTCCCTCGTGTGTTCTTCATATTCATTAGATATCTGCCTCGGAGCCGGCCATCCGAATCCGTCGTTGATGATTGTGGAGACTCAATATCTCGTTGAAGCTTGCTGGGTGGAAGCACGAAAGCTTTGTGGAAGGATAGATGCTTTTGACAGAATGGCGTTCATGTTGCTAGGGTTTATTTGAGAAGAGTGCCTCCATGGTCTATCAAGCATGCATGAGACAGGGTCCAATGCTTTTGAAAGCCCAGAACAGTATGGATGGATGGATGGATGGATAAATGTCCGTTAAATCACACATTAATGAATGTCCAGGTGAGGAACGAGAATAAACGTCTAGTGACACCATGGAAAAGGAAAAGATGTTTCTTATATAATCTACGAGGCGAATATTATTGGGTTAACTCTCATTCTCATGTGTCTAAACACTCCCCTTCTCATGATCTGAATAAGTGTCTACTAGATACCTCAGAACATTACTTGCCTAGTGTTGACCTACATTTTAGACACTTTCGTAGGTGGTATTAAAAGGGAGGAGTGCAGATGGTGTAACTGGGGCACAACATAAAAATGGATTAGCTTTTGATTTTAGTTTCGGCAGGCACGAGGCTTCTTGGTCGTCATTTCTTTCGCTTAAGGAAGTTTGGGAAACGCCGAGAAGGTTTTAATCCTTGTTGCTCCATCCAAATAAATATATGGAGGCATTGGAGGCGTTGGAGCTTGGAAAGCTTTGGTGATATTACTTCCATGGACCCATCAAATCATCCATTAGCTTATCTACTTCGTGCTAGGGGAATTCACCTATCTCTTTTCCATTGCATAAACATACAAGGTTTCAAATATCCATTGTGTTTACCATTAATAAAACACAACACACGGTACATACGGTACATACGGTACAAGATGGTCAAGAGAAAGGCCAAAGGTGTCGGAGATGAAGTTCATATAGAACCTCGAAGATCGAGTCGACAAAAAGTAAACAATACTGAGAGCTTGAAAGAAAAGGCTACAACTTCATCAACTTCGTATTCCTCGGCACCGAATACCAAGAAGGAGATCAAAAAGGAGACGACAAAGAGAGATTCTCAAAAAGGAGCAAATGTTAATGGAGAAGTTACTGCCCCAAAAACGACTGCTGTAGGTTGATTATTTCCCTTATTTTCAATATTCTCATGCTCTAGTCTCCTATGAATTCTATACCGACCTAGCATCTACTGCTTCATATCTTGATTCACGAGGGCATTTTTGGACAAGCACGTGCTCTTCACAAATCCCTCTCACTGGTAGTGGTTTGATCTCACATATTCTCGAACCATTTTGACAATTTCATTTTCTATCTTTGCGCTTTCGAGTTTAATTTCTGGTCCATTTTTAGAGTTCTACCAAATCCACAAAATCTACCAAACCATCTCTACCAAATGGCACCAAATCTACTACATCAGAAATCCCCTCGGCCGAATCCTCATCAACTCGTCAATATTGGCTAATGAAAGCTGAACCTGAATCACGTATCGAAAAAGGTCATGATATTAAATTCTCCATCGATGATTTGGCAGCCAAAACTGAACCAGAGCCTTGGGATGGTATGTTATTCCTTATACATGTATTACATGTCAACATTAATACTAACGTTTTAAAGGAATACGAGCATATCCAGGTGTGTCACCTTGCAATTCTGTTTTACAATACCATCACTAACACATAAATTAGCACGCAACAATCTTCGTGCGATGAAGAAGGGAGATTTAGCCTTCTTTTATCATTCATCATGCAAAGTTCCTGCAATTGTTGGAATCATGGAGATCGTTGAAGAACATTCTCCGGATCGTAATAAATCCCCATCAATCATATACTTTCAATTACTATACTAATGGGAAGAATAGTCTCAGCGCATGATTCTGAGG